ACCGCCATATTGTATGGATGAAGGTGGACGATGTCCAAATCCACCGGTCGTAGTCGCAGCAAAAGAAGCAACCGCCAACAATACAGACATTGTGATCAGTGCATTGACATCGTTAATTTTCACATTGGTGGGTGTTGGCTCGTGTCTCTGGTTATGTTGGCATATAAAGGATTGCTTTTTACCAGAACAAGATACTCAGGGTAGATCGTCCGATACAAATACACGTCGCCCGAATAATACACGATCGACGGCATTCAATTCGGCCGGCGATACATATACAGCCACCGGTTCAACGCAACACAATCGACAGTCAACGCCAGCGATTGACGACAAAGATGATAATCCACCATCGTATGATCAACTCTTCCCCCATTTAACCAATTCAAATAATGAAAACAAATAAGAGTTTTTTGCTGTGATATATATATAAACATTTATATATATACAATTTTTTCTCTAATTATTCGGAAAAAAAGAAAAGATTAATCATTTCTGTTTCTTCAGTCGATCACAAAAGCCACTACCTTTATTCCTTTGTCACCGATCCACCCGCAATTCACATACACAATGAAATGATCTATTTAGTATTATATATGTATTAATTGCCAGCTACAACAACAACACTCAGAAGAATACACATTTTAAATTAGGAGCACTCTCATATAAGAATATATATATATAAATATATAACTTTTAAGTACCGTTTTATTATAATTCGTATGTGTAAATGGTACGAATCAAATTTCAAGTGGAAATCAAATCAAACAAATACACACACACACCACCCGCCGCAATGCAAACAATAAATTCATCGCTTTGCCTTTTATCTGTGTAAAACATGTATTCTAAAAAGCGCTTAAATATTCGAAATTCTATGACTTTTCTGTGTTACCACAAAATTTGTTTAGCTTTTTAGAATTTTAATGATCAATATCGTTCGGTCGTTTTCGATTTTTTTCTCGATCGAACAAAAATGCCTTGAGCAATAATAAATGAGCAAAAATTAAGTGTTAATTTAGATCAAAAAATATATGCTCAAATCATAACATGCCCACCCCTCACACAATCATGCCAAATTCAACACTTATTCAGTTTTTTTTTCGTAGCATTCCAACCGCAGCTCAAGTATAAAATGCAATTTTCGCACTTGTTATAATAACTCAGTTTTGTTTCTATAGAATGATAGTATGATCCGCACACAAATTGATAATTGATAACAAACCAATTTTAATTGCAATAATCGATTTTGTTGGTGCAAAGAGTTAACGATATACACGGCCACGCATTAATTAAAGTACATTTATTTCTTATTGATGAATCTCAAATAGATAAAAAAACCAGTTTTATCAGTATATTTCCACAAAAAGTGCTACAAACAATTCGATGATAAAAAGAATAACTATAAACAGTCAGTACTTGCAACAATCCAAATTCATTGCTCATTCTCAATATCTTACACAAAAATCCATTGCTCTGGAAGAAAAATGTTTATTGTAATTGTTTTACAAACATATACTCTGTATACATTACACTGCGGTGATTTAAATCATCGTCAGACAAAACAATCAAAACACATCGAAGAAAAAACAAATATTTTCGCGAGCATTTCGAATGTGGTGTGAGTCATCATCAAAGTCCAACCAAACACCAAAAGTAAAACATTTAATTCACGTTCCCAATGCAAGAAATCATATTATTTTCGTTATTCATTCGATTTGATTGGCATAAAAATTGAGCCATAATTTTGATCGAAAACCCTTATTTTCTCGTTCGACATTAAAACAAGAGTCACATTTTGCAAATAAAAAGTTGTGCGCTTTCAATCGACAGAATCGTCCTTCAATCCGGACTTGTGGCAACCGGCATACGATTTTGTCGGTGTTCATAATTCCCTCTTTTTCTCTCATTCGTACTAATTGTTTGTCTAAATTGATGTCGCGATTACCTCATCAAAACGAGAGCAACGATATACACAATTGAAGTAACAAAAAAAGAAGAGAAATGAAACGAAAAACACATACACTGAAATTAAAATTGCCTTCTCGACATTGCAAACAAATAAACATTTAAATGGCCTTGCAAATTTACCAATTAACAGGTATTAAATTATATAGGATATAAGCTTTAAAACATTTCGGTTTCATGGCACTGAATTTTTCTTCGACAACAACAGCAATAGCCAAATGAGAGCATTTTCGATTATGTCTCCGAAAAACAACTCGTAGTTGAGTGCCTTCAAGACACAATGATTTTGTTGCACAGAAAAGTCACTTATTTGATCATTTGTTTTGGTATTCAGAATGTTCACACTTTTTTTTTTATCTATGTAAGGTAGTGCAACCAAAAAAAATATTAATTTCGATATTTTCAAAGAGAAAAACTGAAGATTAAATAATTTAATAAGCTTTGTTTGAACATTATAAGAGCAACTAAAATGTGAAAACAATACATTTATAGTTTGTAATTAATATGCAGTACTATTAAATATGCCTCTCATTGTACTGTGTTTGTCATACAATAGTTGATATATACATATATAGAATAGGTTGGTATATTTAAGTGAAAAAAAATGTATACAGTCAGGATATATATTGTTGTTGTGCACCGTTGCTTCTTATACTTAAAATACGGGGCTCTAATATATACATTTTTAAATGAAAACAATGAATTTCGATTTCGTCGAAGTCAACGCCTCGAATGGGACAATGTGAAGAGAGGCACCTTAATTGGATCATATCAATCGATTTGTTTCTAAAATGTCAATCTGAGAAATGCCAATTGGTACTGCCAATGTGGAGAATACGCTCAGATCTCTGTGCCAATCAAATTCATGGATTTTAAAAGATAAAGTTGCCACAAACAAATCGGCACTAAAAAATAGTAAATTCAGGGTGTTTGATTTCCATTATAGCCGGAGAGTGCTAATTCTCTTCGATTATCTCACAAACATATTCTCTTGACCAACGACTTGACATGATCCAAGGGAAAATAATTTTTTTTTTAATAAAATCCATCCGAAATAATTAGATACAATTCAGCAGCAGAAACCGAGAAAATAAAAACAGAAGAAATTATTTAGGATAATAAAAATATTTTCAAATTTTCGAACGAATTATTATTATTGAAAAAAAAAAAACATCCATTTTAAGCACAAATTCAATGACGTTGAGGGTTTTTATTTTTGTATGATTGGATCTGAAATGGAATCGAAATGCGATTTGATTGAATAATTGAAAAGGAAAAAAAAGCAGACGCCAAACGGATTTGTTTTCTTCAATTTTTTTATTGTATTTTCATTGTAAAACATTGTAAAAAATATTTATTTTAGCATTTATTATTAAAAGTTGTCTAAAATTAAGTTTCAAAGAATAATAATTAAAAAACTATTGTAAAGAACATTGTTTAAATGGTATTTTTTGTGTGTTTTTTTCTTTGTTTTTTTTTTTCGGTGCATTTTTCAGGCACATACATTTTGTGTCATGGCTAAATGAGATTTATTTTCCATACATTTATCTATTTTTCGGTTCTTTTCGTCGGAATTTTGTGTGTTTATAAATTTTTTCTTCAACTTTTTGATTTTTATTTAATTCTATTGAACGCTACATATAAAATTCGTCAATGTGCGCAAGTAAAATGAATAAGGCACACAAATACACTTGGCAACTTAGTCAATGGTGAGACGAAAGGAACACTTCTTTAAACGGTCGTAATGGCCGTGTATATATCACTTATATTACTAATATTTCTTTAATTGAAATGAAAAAAGTCAATTGAATGATTCTTATCGATTTAGAATATTTGAAAATAGAAAAGAAAAGTAAAATGAGAAAAAGGACGTTGTCGTTGACTCCAAATAAAAAGTTTCTCCCAATTACAATTTATGGTCTTGCCGTCACATTTTGCAGAATTCCTTCCAGGGAAGTTCGTCCATCGAGATCTAATTGGCGCGAAAATATGTAGACTTGATACCATAGATAGAGGTAGCACACTGCAAAAAATCAATCATTTTTAAATTTATTTTCAATTTTGATGCAATTGCATTACGTTGAAAAAAAGGGAAGAAAAATGCGAATCGATGTCGATTGCGACTAAAATATTTTTTAATCATATCAAAAAGGTGTAAAATGCATAACGCACCATTTGATGTGAGCAAAAACACAATGAGAATGACAACTTCTTGGTGGTCCATGTTTGATTTGTGCACCGCAAGCAAGTCATAAATGAACACCAGTGTAATGAACAAATAAATAATGGTGCAAAGATTAATTGCCAACCAAACGGATACCTCGCGCGTTGTTTGCTGTAAAAACATTTGAAGAAGAAAAAACAAATATCGATATAAGCACGATCCGCCCATAAAGAAAATGTGTACATTTTACAAATTGAAATAATACCTTAATTGCGCCAAAAATCAGCAAACAATCCGAAATGAGTTTGAAGAAGCAAACAACAATGCCCATGATCATCACAAAAGAATACAAATTATTGCCGATTTTGTCAGTTTCATCGAGCATCACTTTTTTCTGTAATGCCATCAAAATAAATTGTGACGCCAACATCAGCATGGATGCAATCTGAAAACAGAAACCAAATAACAATAAGTAAGTGTACAAAAACATGAGCCACAAATGCAAATGTCAGCGATCTATGGTAGACGAATAGCTATTTTGAATTGAAATGATTTGTTTGAAAATTATAATGCAATTTACAATATTTATTGATTTCAAAGCGACCATTTCGCATAGATTTGGCTCAACTATTTGATTGGCGTTGAAACTGAATTAATCAGCATAATTTACCCAACATCTTTTGTCTTATTGTATCATCTTCATTTGAATTCAGTGCTGACTAGTTAAAATGGAGTAAAAATATCGTAATCCTTCGGGTGTGAGATATTAAGTTGACACTTCATTCAAACATTCGGAACGAGAAACACCAATGCTTGCATCATTTTATGAATGCTAGAAGACAGTCGATGCTTGCTTCATTTGAATTTCAAATATTTTTTACGTTTTTTTTTTTTTACAAAAATAAAGTCATTGTAGCCTCACAAATTCGTTGAATTTTTTTCTGAATTCGATTTTCTGTGGTTTTTCAAAGAATTCACTTGGATTTTTCGACATTTTAATGAATCCTGAGTATCAGTACAGTAGCTACAGTGCCAACAGAAAGTTTTGGGCCAAATATGTGTTTTTTTATGTTTTCTTGACGTTTCAAAAATAATACTTTTTATTCTCAGAAACGGTATTTTACGGAATTTTGTATAAAAAATACATAGGTGGCCCCAGACTTTCTGTCGACACTGTACATCTATTTTATCCATTCCGAGTTTTTCAAACATGTTTTTTTTATGTCAAAAGGTTATCTAGTTTGTATTTTCTTTCTAGATTGTAGAGAGCTTGCAATGCTGGGTTCTCAATTTTGAAATCAAATGCATTACAATTCAAACCAATTTAAATATTTTTATTTTGAACAAACTCAAATAAAATCAATTTATAATTTTTGACCTTTTATATGATTTGGTTTTGAAAATAAATTATAATTAATGCCGGTTCAAAAAAGAAAAAAAATTAATAAAAAACTTCTTTTTTGTGAAAATATTAAAAAATTCGATTGGAATTTTGTGTCAATTTTATTTTTGAATTTGATCTTAAAACGCATAGTTTTAGCAACATGGAGTCACCAATAAATTATTAGCAATAATTCGATTTCGGGAAAAATGTATAATTATGCTTGTACTCTTTTACTTCTACTAAAATCATCCATTACTACAATTTCGTTTATTTCAGTGCGCCATAAAAAATCAGAGTATTATTCAAATCTCGCGATGTAATTCAACGTGTTTTCACCTCGTAATCCGAAAAAAAGTAAATTGAATTAATTTACAAATAAAAAGAAACTTATATTTACCAATCCGATTGTTCCAATAGTCACCACTCCTTTTCGCATATCGATGCAACCACAACAGGTTTTCATGATGTTTTCTTTGTATTCTTTTCCCCAAATAATCAGAAACAAAATCTTCAAAAAATAAAAAATGTTGCACACCGAACTGATTATCCGATCCGCCTTTTCGATTTTTTTAATATGTATCGATTGTAAGACTTGTTGAATGTGTCACGAAACTAAAATTGCTCGCAAGACCAACGGCCGGTCAATTTTGATCACAGTAGTCACTGCTGCTGGCGATTCGATTGTTTATAGGACGATTCACTGGAGCTCACTAAACTCTTTTGCAAAAATATTTATGTATCGTACACTACTGTTTTCATCTTTGACGTTCGTTCACAATCCGTGTACCGGGCGGCTGATCGCACAATCCCGACAATGATGACGACGACAACGACAATAACGACGACGACAAAAACAGTCCAAACGATGACGATCCATTCAGACGCACACAATTTTCTAATTAACAAATTGCAATAGTTCTGTTAACGGCGAGAAAGAGTGGTAGGTATTTTGTGCTGTTTTGCATAAATTCTATCTCAATTATATGAAATCATAAACCAAACTTCTTTGTGTGCACTTTATACACTTTTTTTTCTTCATTCATTTGCTTCTTCTTCTGGCGACGACTAAATAAAAACAATACCACAATTAATGGTGGTTCGGTTGCATTTATTCGACGAATTTACATTCGCATAACTCTCACGGCGACTCTCACTTCCATAAAAAACGAGAATAACAAAATAATGGCATCGATAATCGAATTATATGCGCTGATTTTAACCGCAATGTGCTTTTTTTATGATCCACACCAGAATCGCACGTATTCGAGCACGAAACTAAAGATGACGATAATTTCCGATGAATTTAAAAACAATAAATTGTTGATGAAAACGACGAAAGGGCACGATGTTATTGTATAAACAACTCACGAATCACACACACACACACAAATTAAATAATCAAAAGAAAAGTGATGTGAAAACGATGAAAACGAGCAAAAATGGTTAAAAAAAATATGGTAATTAGAAATGTGTGTTGACTGTAGCGGCGGCTATCGGTGGCCGCACATCGAAATCAAATAAAAACTGAACGAAACTTCCTCGGCAACAAGGCTATAGCAGAGAAGCAAAAAAAAGTCAACAACAACAGTCACGTCAATACACACTATTTCAAGGAATCGAACACACGCACACAAATGAGCGCGCGCGCTCACACACATGCTGTCATTGAGTGGAGCGCGGTAAATACGAGAACATTTTGGTTTTCCTTCAACGATTGTGATGAAGAGAAATGGATGTAAAATTGTTAAACGAAACCGAAAATGAAACATAACCTAATGAAACTACAATAAATAAAGCACCGAAGAGAAATAGAGAGACGGTAAATAAGAGAGAGACAGAGGTTGAGAATAAAAGACAATTACATACAACTCAAAATATTACAACAAATACGAGTGTAACACCAATACACGAACGCACAGCTGCTTGATGTGCTTACAAAACAATTCTCACTTCGTTCCGATTGACGAATTACATGAAAGAAGAGAAGAAGAATAGCATCCGATTTATCGTGTCTGATTGAGTGTAAGATGAGGATGGTGCCGGAACAAAAATTGCCGTGAAAAAGAACCGTTCAACATCGTTGCGCTCGAACACGACAGCGCTCTATGTGTGTGTGTGTCATGCGAAATCAGCTGTGTGCATTGCGAATAATGAATAGAGATGGGGAGAGAAAGAGAGAGGGAGAATGAATGATAAAAACCACTGATGAAGGCGACAATTTTACTATGTGAATTTATTACATGCATATTTTTCCACCCGGCATTGTCATTTGATTCGATGATTATTATTTCTTCTTTTTTTTCGATTCACGTTTCGTTTCAATTGGCGATCGTATGTGATTTACTTACTCTTTTTCTCATCCTTATATCTATAATATCATACAATGTATGCGTTCATGGAATTTGACTCATTTTCTGTGACGGAATGTTAATGTTGTTGTTGTTCTTCTAATTTGGCATGACTGAAGACTGACTGCGTGTGTTTGGAAAAATAACGACATATAATTACGCATTCGTGTATAACCGCGCAACAAACTCAATTCAAATGGTTTTTGAAAAAGAGAGCGAAAGCGAACGAATAGAGATAGAGAACGAATCCAATTCGAATGTGAGCGAACAAGTCTATTGTTATTTTGATGTATAACGCATATTCACAATAAGAAGCACTTGCTGTTGTTGTTTGTTGTGTGCAAGTATGATGTACACTGCGCCAACACTGTATGTATGGGTGGTGCACGAGCATGTGTATGCGTGTGTCCGTATGTCTCATTTGAGAATCTCTCTCTCTCTCTTTCTCTTGCTGTGTGTCTGTATTATAATATTATCGTTTTCGTTTGTTAAACACTGTTATACGTATATATATACACACTTTACTGCTGCTGCCTTGTGACAGTAAAATTCCAATATGGCGTTAAATGTCAAATGCACACAGCTCGATGACTGGAACACCAGTATTAAGACCAAGAGTGTTTTGTGTTGAAATCATCAACACACAGCAGTAACCGAAGAGAGAGAGAAAAAGAACATATATATTATTATTTTTGCAGAGAACATTCAAAGACAAGAAAACACAGCCAGTTCAAAACCAAACCAAAAGAAAAATATTATATTCACATCGTGTAACCGTGGTGTGTGAGGTGCACGCTGATACATTATTTTTCGTACGTGTCTCGCAAAACGATAGATATTTATATACATACATTTTAAGTCATTGTAGAAAAGAAAAAAAAATTTTTTTTTGTAAATTTTTTGAATCGATTGCTCTTGCAGTCTGTCAATACGAAATTTTTGTTTGTCTCTCTGTTGATGATAAATGACGACGACCACGACGACCGAACAAAAAAAATATATATATTCATTGTGTGTAGCATATAGTTCTTGTACGGGTATTTTTCAGTTTAGACTCGCGAGAATAATAAACACGGGGAAAAATCAATGAAGGAAACGCGAATATTGTCTGTATTGAAATGTGTGCATGACGTTTCTCTGTTCTGATGTACAAGTGAATGAAGACAGAATAGTCATAGTTCTTCGTGCTGTTTTTTTTATATATTCTGTTCTTTATTTCGTTAACACGAAAAAGGGAGAAAAATTCTGTTTGTTTTTTTCTTCTCACTGGCCAGCTCCTTCTTTCTGTGTGTATGTCTGTGTTACAGTGGAATAGTTTGTTTTTGGATTTTTTGAAAACTTGGTTTAAAAAAAATGTGCGAATTGGCAATCACAGATACTGGACTGAGATTTGAGTTGTTGTTAACCTTCGTGCAATTCTAATTAAAAAAAATATATATATATTTATTTCAAACGAAAAAGAAATAATACGTTTTGTATAAATTATGCATCGAAACAATAAATTGCGTGTCGATTTTTTTCTCAATTCCAACTTAACTGAGAAATAAAACAACATGCTCGCATGTGTGTTAGAGTGAACGACGAGAATGAATCAAAGTTTCAGTTTTTTTTTTGCTTAAATTAGCGAATTTGATGAAGGAAGTAAGAATTTTTTTATCTGTGCAGTGTATAAATTTCGCCAGAAAATCCCAAAATTCGATGATGGATATAGAGCGAAAATGGAATAGTTTGGTTTGTTTATTTGTGCATGCGTGAGTGTCAAAAATTCGGTGTAAAGTTTCTTGAGTGAACGAAACAAAAGTCCATGAATCGACCTCTGCGAACTTCAGGAAATTTCAAACTGCCAAATAAAATCTACATTCAGTACCGTAAAAAAAGCTCATTGAAAACATGCCACACATTCAAGGCGAATGCAATTAAATTCAGTTTTTTTTTTTCAAAAAAAAGGATATGTATGCGATACATACATGCCACAGGACTCAATTGTTTGTTGGCTCCTCTCTGTATTTCTCTTCCATTTGCTTAAAATGTGCACTATTTCCATTTACCGAAAAATGTTTGTCAATGTCGTTTGTTTTTCTCATTCCATTTCTTGTATTGTTGTACAAAGTTTCTCAGCTGTGTCGACAAGTGCGGCCAAAATAGAAAAGCAAAAAAAAAAAAAATACATTACGGTGAAAGTATAATTTCGTTTTGTGGATCAAAAGCGCAAAAAACAACATAGATTCGTCAATTTCGGCAAGTGCCATTGTTTGGTATGGCTCTATTTTCTTGTGCTCTATGCCATCACCATTGATTTTGAATCACTTCAAAATGAATTGAAAACACATTTCGACCAACGAAAATACAAAATCTGCACAATGCAGAGGGTCTGTGTGTATGGAGTGTTTTTGTGAATGTATAAGTATTTTTGGCATAAATGGAATTTACATTGTCGTTTTATAGTTAAAGTAAAACGAAATTACGAACAAGTTGGTCAAACATTTTCGGGCCACATAAATCCAAATAAAAACGCACATAAAAAGCAACAGTAAACTAATGAGAGCGTGTGTGCAACAATATAGCCTAATGGGAATTGTAAATGGTTCTTAACTGTCATTAGATTGAGAGACGTGAAATGAACACGGCACAAACAAACGTCGATGACACACACAAGACATTGATTTAACAGGTGATTTTTCATCAATTAACGACATCATCGATATTCTTAATGACACACACACATATGGCGAGCAAGCGCGCACACTGCACAAATCTTTTCATACTTTAATACTGCATTTAATTCGCTGATGCTTCGTTCGGTCCGTGTCGCAACTAACAAACATTTTACGTGTGTGCATGAGTGTGACTAAAACAAAATTACCAAAAAAAAAAATCATAAACAATTTTCAAAATCAAAAGAAAAAAAAAGTTACTAACAAGTGGTTATAGTGGTGTTTGAAAACAAAAAATGAAAACAACCAAAAATATTGATGAATCGATTTTTGTTTTGCAGATATGAAGCATTTTTGGCCAAACTGCTTGAGTGTGTTCGAAACAAATTAAAGAAAAATTGTGTATTTGTTTCGAATTGATTTTCTATATATACATGTATGTTGTTTCGTTTTGCTGCTTTTGCCGATTTTCAACGTGTAAACTATTTAACCAAAAAAACCGAAATAAAAAAAAAGAAACGAGATACTCATTCAGATAACATATTCCGAGCATTAACCGACACAAACAATTCAAACAGAAGAAAAAAAAAACAAAAAAAACAGATATATAACAAAATTAACCGATAGAGAGAGAAAGAGCCAATCAACATCATAAACATGGCAACGGATAAAATAAAGGTTGCAGTTCGAGTACGGCCATTCAATCGGCGAGGTTTGTATATCTTTTATTATACATATTTTTTTTGTTTTGATTTGCTTTTGTTTTTGGATTACTACTTTCCGATATTTGTCCATTATACTGCGAGACCACATTGTCTCTAATGACAGTCTGTCTTTTCGACGAAATTTCCAGCACAAATTTTATGTGTTTGTCAAATTTGGCATATCCATGTGATATACTCTGCGATGTGATGATCGAGAGCGTATGCTTTTGTATGTGTGCACGAGCAAGAGATGGATCTGATTTTTTTTCTTTTTTATTTATTTATGCGAGCCAGGAAAAAAAGTCGATAAGATTGTGCGAACGAAGCATCAGAGAAAAAAAATATAAAATATACATACTGCGCGCTTTATGAAAGCGGGAAATGATGAATTAATCACATTGAGCGTAGCACAATCAAATATTGTACATTGGAGATATTTTCAGCCTATCTCGTTTGGCTGTGCTCGGACGCAATTTGCTCAGCTGATTTTTGTATGAGAGTGAAACTCTTTCTCTCTCACCCAAATTGCGATCGAGCTCAAAGCTGGCTGAACATATCGCAGCAGAATGGCTGAAGCAATACACCACAACAGCAGAAAAAAAAAACACGCTCTGAAAACGAATAATATTATCAAATCGAAATGAAAAGTGAATCAATGAGATAAATGCGACAAACTATGATGAAAGAAAGCAATGAACGAAGAAAATGAAAATGTAATAAGTAAATCGATGAAGAAATGTAATAAGTACGCATCACCAGGAACGATGATTATGAGCGAATGTAAATGAAAGAAGAAAAAAATCGAAATGAACATGGAAATGTTGAATTTATAGTTTAGTGTGCGTGTATGTGTGTATATGTGTTACGCACCAAACTCTATTACTCATTCATTTCCTTTTTTGTAATTGCCATCGCATTTTTTCTGCTTTTCCATTTTACACGTTAATCTATATATAATTTGTATACATATAGACGTGTATTCTTTCACCACGTGAGAAAAGCTATATCGCGATTCGCTTTTGTGTATTGTATGACATGTGTGTGTGTGTGTTTTGGTGTGCGTCGGATAAAAAAGCGGAAAAATTCAATGTTTACTATATACTGTGATCCACCATCAAAACCGATAAATATATACATATATGAGTTTTATCGTATATGAGCGTGCAATCGTTCCGATGTTTCGAGAGCGTAATTCAAGAGAACATACAACAGAAGAAATAAAAAAAAACAAAGAAATGTGTATTGAGTGTTATTGGTGTGACTTGTGTGCAAAATACAGCACGTACATGCTTTACAACAATAGTAAGATATCATTGAGAAAAGAGAAAGAAAAACTAATGGAAAAAAGTCGAGAGAAATAAAACACACACACACTTGAATGAATGAATATGTATATGTGGAATAAAAGTAAAAAGCTGAAAGAAAACCCTCATCAGTGAAAATTAAGCGTCAAAATTATTCTAGAGACAATGAAGAGCCAGAAAATAAAGTAAAGAAAAAATCATGTTTTATGCGCGAATATGGTTTCTTGATCCAATAGAAATAGAAATGCCATTCAGTAACGATGTAACGAAAAGAAATAAGAACAAAAACCATGAAGAGGTATAAAAGTGAAAAGAGCGCGCAAAATAAAAATATGCGAGGACAGGTGATGAAAATTTATGGCAATTCACTCTTTTCATGAATTCGAGTTCTGGGATTAACTTTTGTTCTATTTCCCCGTATACCGTTCCGTGTCTACTTTGATGTTTTGCAAAATAAAACCAAATAAGATTGAAGTAGAAAAAAATACGTGCTTGCATGCATGTAACCACCAAGTCAGTCACAATGAAATCATGCATTACAATGGGCATTGGGAAGGGAAAGAGAGAGAGAGAATGAGGAAAACAACGAGAGAATCCTTCAATTGAGTGTGTTAACGTTGGCGCAAAGCAACTGAATAAATGACACACATTAGAACCCCAAGCGTTCAAAAAGTGACAAGCAGGTCACACACATTATATCGCAGTAAACTGACTGCCAACCAACACACATTCTATATTTTCACTATCATCAAATCTATTCCACAACAAGCCACCACCGTTTTTGTTGTTTCATCACACAAATATCCATATACCATTGTGAGCATCGATAAAATATTAATGCTGTGGTACGAATTTGTGATTTGCGCCGAAAATATTTTCCGGACACTTTTGCCAGCAGGTTGTCAAAACAAATAAAAGGGTGACCCGTTCTTTGTGATGCGCCATGAACATTTCCATAAGATTTGCATTATTATCGAGCCAAGCTTTCATCGAGAATAAATATGCAATTTTCCTTTTTTGCCATGCCATTTTATTTCAAATACTCCTTCGCGGCGTGAACAAAAATTGCTAGTGCCAGCCAACTGGTTCAATCTGATTTCCATCGTTTTGTAGCCGCTTTTTATTATGTTTCTTTGCCGTCCACTTTCACGATTAAATGTGCACCAATAAATGGATATAGCGGCTCGGCCCGGTCTACGAAAAATAAAGGAAGAGAAAATGGAAAATGGGCGATTGGTCTAATTTTTGTTCGATGAAAATTATCGTTGGGCGTGTGTGCGTGATGTATGGCTCTGTTTCAAAGTAATAAAGCGGCTATTGCCATTTGCGCCAACCGTATATTCTCGATTTTCTGTGTCGTTCATTTTTATTTGTTTGAAATGCCTAAATATCATCAATTTAAGCTCAGCTCCAGTTTGTCTACACCATCATGAAACAAAATTGATGAAAAACCATCAACCGAACAAACTATTCAAACACAGTATATGGTTACAAACAACAAAGAAGACAAACAGCAGATATACAGGGTGTCTCACATAAGTGGCCAGGAATGCTTTTTATCTTCCATCTTTTAGGGGGATGGATTCCATAGAAATTCTTAGCTAATCATATCAGGGTCCAATAAGGAGACCCTCCAAAAAGAAAAAAATTAAAAATCACACTCCCGACAGTGAAGAGCACTTATATGAAACACCCGGTATATAAACAATTCTTGATTCGGGGGAACAAAAGCTGAAGTCTGTTTCTTTTTGGGAGCAACACATTCAAAATCATTGATGTAGAACTTGTTCAACACTTTTCAGCTCAACGAACAATTCAAATATCATGCCAAATATCCTTGAAGATTTGCTCGCTTCACTATTTATTGATTACATTTTCAGCCATTTGTTTGGCAACTTTATTTAAAAAAAAAAACTGCGTTTTGTCTTCTTAGTCATCGTTGTCGGCTCATTTTTCGTTGATTAATGCGAATGAAATGTACGACATAAAAAAAAACAAACAAAACAATCAAGCGAAACCGTGCCATTGCCTTGCAGATATGAATCATTTGATATCAAAACGTTTGTCCGAATCAATGATTCTGATTGACCCAGAATAATGCGCGTGAAGTGCACACCAGAAGGAATGAATGGTTTCTTTTTTCATTTGATATGCATGGCATTTGCAAGTGGTATACGATTTTTCGATTTCCGTTTTTATATTCACACCATATCGACGAAATTCACAATACACCATCTCTGACACTGATACTAATCGCATCGCAAATACCTTTTATTGCGCTTTTATTTTATTTTTTTTGTATTTAATTAAACAATTAATCATATAATATATTGCAAAGCTAACCAATTCGTTTTTGTTTTGATTAACCCCAAACAGAATTAGAACTAAGTACACAATGCGTTGTGGATATGGATGACCAACAGACAATCCTGCGAAATCCAGCGTCAATAGAAAAACTCGAACGGTAAGTACCTATTCAAAACAATTTGCATTTTTTTATTAACATTTTAAAAATGTCAATTTATGACATGCATTTGAAGCTTTCCATTTAAGAAAAAGAATGAGAGAAACAGAGCATGTAATAAGGAGAATGTGAGAGACAGAGATTATCAGATGTGTGAAATGTGGATTGAATTAGTCTTCAGAGAAAGATATACATTCGTGTGAATGAGTGAAATTGACAATGTTTTTCAACAATTGTTTGTGAAAATGCAAGAGATGAATATCTGAATAAGACCACAATTTGAACTCTGCATTGAACTATATCGTCAAATGTAATTATCATTCGAAATAACAATCTTGAGACATGTGCTTCCTGTTCTCGTCTCCCTGTTCAACTGTCAACTATTTTGGGTCTGGTTATTTAATGCGTAAAAAAATCAATAATAATTATTATATATGTATAATAATTTCCTTTTATTTAAAAATTTCTCAAGTTGTTACAGTTTTTGACAAAAAAAAAATTGAAAAATAAAGTAAAATTTTTAAAAAAAGATGATATACATATATAAAAAAACACCATGCAAAACAATCTAAGGTTTATTGTAAAATTAGTGTCGTTTCGGTTTGATGGACTTTAAAACACGATTGTTCGAAAACAATATGCAACACTCTGGATGTGTGTGGGTGTTTGGTTGTTGTTAATTTTTTTTTGTTTTTGTTGTTAATTAGAGATGGTACTCTTGAGCGCGTCAACATTATTTTGTTTGTATTCTGTTTAATTTCTGCAAATTTTACGCTGTACTTTCGGTGACAGTATTTTGTACTTCTTGACCACCGTCCTGCAAAAGAAAAAAAAACAATTCAAATCACAAAATTAATATGACGAAATTGATTGATTTATCTCGAGATTGACTCAAGTGATTGTTTGGTTCACTTACTTGATTGGATCCGCTGGTTTTTGGTTTGCGATTCAAACGTCTTCGTGGTGGTCGGCCACCTTTTTGTCCATTCTCATTGCCTTCACCACCTTCGCTTTGGCCACCTTCACCACCTTCGCTGTTGCGTGGCTTACGTGGTCGGAAATTTTTGCGTGGTGGACGACGTTGGTTTCGGTTTGGACGACCGTTTTGTGGACCATCGCCTTCTCCCTCAGTGTTACCACCTTCATTAGCATCACCTATATTCACAATAAATTAAAAAGACACAAATTAATTCAATACAATTACAAACACAAACATTAAAGAAATAAAATTTAAAACAAAATCAAAATTGAAAACATACCATTCACTCCTTCTCCGTTTTCGCTTCTACGAGGTCCGCGCCTAAAGCCACGACCTGGACCGAAGCGACGACGCTGTCCTCCTCCGAAACGACGTGCCCGTGGCTTCTTGTCGCCACCTTCTCCTGCACCTTCACCTACAGAAAAATCTAAAAAATTAATGCAATGTTAGCAAAGTAAGAAAATAAATATGAATAAAGAATTTATCTTACCTTCGCCTTCGCCACCAGTTTCACCACCGCCCTCGCTGCGTTGAGTGCGACGACGTGGACGATACATGCGACCACGTCTCTTGTCTGGAGCAAATGGGCTACCTTGAACTGGCTCACCGCCCGGGCCAGTTACATTGGCCGCTTCATTACCTTTGTCGCCTAAAACGACATCAAATTCAACGACTTCTTCGTCGCCAACCGATCGTACGGCTTTCTTTGGGTTATTGTTCACGATGGCCGTTTGATGAACAAACACATCCTCTTTTGTGTCATGACGATTGATAAAGCCATAACCACTTTTCACATTGAACCACTTGACGGTGCCCGTTACTTTTTCAGCTATTCAATCAAAAACAAAAGAAAAATAAAAAAAAAATTAAAAATTTGAATTTATTTTGTGCAATAAAATGCAAATACACACAAATTGGACAAATATTCTAGAAAAAGTGGCAATTAACATGCGTTTTGCATGGGGGGTATTGCATCAATTTGAGTTCGATCAAATTGAAATATGGTCACAGCTGTGCCAATATTAAGCAAGATTGAATTGAAATCATTGCAAAATTTTGTCGATTTTTTTTTCGTTTTCAAATAAAATCATTCGATCTGATGAAAATAAAAATTGAAATGAATGAAATACATACATAGACAAGCTCAAATTATCTTGCATTGATCGACTCAACAATCGATTGTCAATTCAGCTGAATATTTAAATTCTCGGTCGCATTTTTTTCATTCTTGTATGGCATTTGGACTCATTTGAACTGTACAAATATGGTATTCGCACCATTTTTAATATTGCCATTAGCGCTTAGTCCACTGTTGAACTTTTTCCTTCTATGAACGAATCGATCTGATTGAATTTTATTGCATATCAATGCTGGAATGTTTCACATTTATTTTCGCTCGTTGCTTAAAAATGGACATGCATTGAAATTGTGTGCTGTCAAATATCAAACTAAAGACCAGCAACAACAACAACAACAACAACAACAACAACAACAAAAGAAAACTGACAGCATGATACTAGCTCGGAACTGAACATTTTGTGAACACATGCTTATGCGTAGTTTATTTGAGCGCGAGCGACAGAGGGCGATTCACACGCACGCCCAACTATCTATATTTAGAATAAACTTCATACATTGTATACGCACGCGATGGAATATTTTTCTGTGTGTTACACCACATCGTACACCGTGTTTGGGTTGGTGTGCATGAATCGGTTCGCACCGTTCAAAATGAGCGCATTTCAATTCGCTTGGGCGAAAAACTACTAAAATTCTTCTTTTATATATACAGTTTTTTTGTGTGTTGCGATTTGGTGTTGTTGTTGGTGATCGATGAGAGATGATGTCATCGGCATTTTTCAGCATTTTTTAACGATTTCATTTCAATATCGAAATGTATATGGATTAAGTTGAATATATTCATTATATCGTTCTATTGTCGAAAATAAACAAAACGGAAAACAAAATGAATAACAGGAACTGAGTTTTGAATGAAAAAGGCCACATATTTTGGCTCCGATTTGATTCCGAATAAATGGAAAACATCGACCGAAAATAGTCTGAAATAATGATATTTTTGTAAGTCATCTGTCAGCCTCCAAAGCAAAATCACACCGATTTTGAGAGGGAAACAAGTTCATTTTTTGACTTGTTCTCGAAATGTTCGACGAGAAAGTTTAATAATCACACCTTCTGAATATGCTAGAATTAGAAGTGTCGAAGATTTGTCGCACATACATTTTCATCTTTTCATGTGTGCATGTCTTCGTTTTCATACTCCTGTTTTCGAAGAAAAATTAAAACTATCAATGAGTGTGTATGTGTACACGCGCTTTCATTAACTCTCAGTCTCTCTCTCTCTCTCTCTCTCTCTCTCTCTCTCTCTCTCTCTCTCTCTCTCTCTATCTCTTCGCGGTGCCGCAATTTACTACTATGTTTTTCTGTCAATTCTCACATTTCGCTCAATTTGTGTGACTTACATTCGTTTTTTTAAATCACATGGACAATAAACATTTGTTGTTTTTTGTTTTCTTTAAAATATTGACAATTAATCGAAATGAATAACAAAAACAGCGAATCATAGATTCAATCGACTCTGATCGCACATTCTGCGTAATAAAAAAATGCCTCTCCTTCTTCTTGTCGTTTGGCGTGTGTATGTTATCTATTTGCGGTCTGTTTTCATAATATTTTTGGTATGCATTTGATGCATGTCTATGTTCGTGTGTGTATTCCTGAATTTCCTCTTTCTACCGTATCCACGGCATTAAAATATAAATGACAAAAAAAAAAAAAGATTGACAAATATTCCAAGTAATTCCATGCATATATTTGTCATATTTTAATAAAATATTTCGAGGTTTTATTTTAGCCGAATTATAGACACGCTTTCAAGGCAACAAACACATATACACCTCGTTCCCTCATATTCATTTCGACCATCCACTATGTCATACTGTGTGCTCACTCTCTCGCTCACTTACACGACAGTCCATTTGTGAGTGTGTTGTATTCCGCGTGAGAGCGGCAGAGAGATAGAGAGAGATAGAGAGAGAGAATGAAAAGCGAAGCGTAACGCAAGAGAGCAAGAGAATGGTAGACAGAGAGGAGATAGAGTACACACGCTCCGTATTTAGAATATACTTAGAGAGTTGTAATAGGGAACACATTGTACGGCATGGCGAACGACAAAAATGTGTGTACTATTCGCATTCAAAATGGCTACCGGCTTTTTCTCGTTCGTCTCATCGAAAATTTCTTTGCTTCGTTCATATATTTTATTCACGTGCACTTTAGCCACTATTTTTCTCTCATTTCATCGTTTTTACCAACAAAAAAAATGTACTATTTTTAATTTTTCAATTCCAAATATCTTTAGCTATTCAAAAAAATGCCTCTTCTCGCATTTTAATGGATAGAATGAAAGAACGGAAAAACACACACACAAATTGTGGACAAAGGCGAGAAATAAATTTGGAATCTCGAAAATAACAACGACGATGACGATGAAATAAGCAAAGAATTCGTCGAATTCGTATCGTTTTCAATGTGCTTTGTTCATTTTATGAGCTACATATATCGTGCGCATCGCGTGCACGTTTCATTTCTAAACATGAAATTCCTTGCTAATCACCACAAGTGAACTTTAAAATTCATCTCAAATTAAATACAATGTTGTTGTTGGTGGTGATATGTACTTTCTCTCTCAAAAATTGTTCATGAAAAATCTGTCGCGCTATCGATGATTATGATTTTTTTTAGACATGGAACGAACATTGTTTGCTGCTAACAGCATGGCGTTCTATCCATTAATATTTGCTTCCCATAAACATCATGAGTCTCATTAAATTTCTTTCTTTTTCACACAAAATGTGTAGATTCAATCACAAAAATGAATGAACCGTGATAGATGATCACAAAAATGACGAGTTGTTCACATTTGATTTGATTAAATCAAATCAAAGCATGTCAACGAACGTCTAAATCAATTGCAGAAATAAGTGCACAAAGACAAGGCAATGCAACAACAACATTCAAATAACAATAATAATAATATGATAAAATAGACGCATTTAAACGAAAAATTGTGAACGAAGCCAATGATGGCAAACATTGGCAGAGAAAGAAGATGGAAGTGTATGGCATTGTTGATTTTTTTTCACATTCGATTTGAGACAAATAAAGCAGCACACTTTTAAACGATAGAACGAGCGCGTCACTTTGTCGACGTTTGGTATAATAATCAAATACGCGTAGTATTACTTTATTTTTTCCCTCTCTTGTCTTCTTCTTATTTAGTTTTATTTCATTTATTTAGTGTTTTTTTTTTTCGCATGTAATGTGCTCGGATCGAATCTCTTCCACCGAATTTCGAATTAAAAATACACACCACAACGGATGATTATTGAATTCAAAATGGACGAGAAAGAGAGTTCCTTCCTTCGGGTGTCTCTCACACACAATTCAATCCGATGCGTCATTTTAGTTCATAAATTTTTTTTCCACCATCATTCATCTATCAAATCATCTTTTTCATTTGAGAGATTCGTTCTTGTGTGTTTATGCGGTTTATTTAAATGATTTTGAAATATATATTTTTTTGTGTCTTTTGTTGGTTGTAAAAACTCACCAATGATTTGCTTGGGCTTTTGTTCTTCCGCTGCTGCTTGATTTGCGGCGCTATCATTGTTGGTGCCCTCGGTTTTGGCTGGGGCTTGTTGTTGTTCTGGTGCCTTTTCGGTGTCAGCCATTTGAGATGTTGATAATATTTTCCCGGACTCTATTTGATGATCTTATTTTACGAGTGATGTGAAAAGATGTTAAAATCACTCAACCTACGCGTTTTGTTGTAAAGATGTTATTCACTTTCCAGATGTTACTCGATTGAGCATTGCTTGCTTTTGCCGTGCTTCAAATGAATGGAGCTGTGCAGTTGCTCACCAATACAACAACAATTATTAACAACATCGATACACATATAGACAATCGGAGGCGCGCGCGTGTTTGTGTGTACTCAAAATAAAATGGAAAACCAAGCAAAAAAAATCACTCATACAAACACATACGCAGACACGTACAACAAAACGCAATACTAATTGATACAAGAGTGACAGAGAAGGCACGTGTAACTAACCGACCGACGATCCTCATACATGACTCTGTTTTTTTGTTTTTTTCTTCTCTATACAAGACACGATGAGAAAGAGAGATATTTTTACACAAGCTTCGACTCTCTCACCAACACATACGCATTGCAAATACACCCGTAGGCGCGTACCGCGTTCTTTTTTCCCACAAATATAAATACCAATTGAATGAGTGCGTGCGTGTGTATGGGTGTCGGGTTTTTAAACACACACACACACTCACACACATAAAACTTGCTTTGAATGCGTTGTTTTCAGAACCCTCAATTTCGAACGCTGTTCATTCTGTATTGGTTGAGAATCACATTTATATTGTACTTGAAATCATAATATAAAGCGTGTATGCCTCGCTTCGTCGGCGCACAAATACGCATACACTTAATACAGTTGAACGCCTTAACGCGTACATTTGCTTTCCTACTTACTCACTCGCTCGCTCGGACTCATTCGCTCGCTTTCGATTATGCCTACGAACAAACTCAAAAAATGTGCTCAATTTTACGATTCTCAATCTACACGTTTTAGAGAAGACAAAAAGGGAAAAAGAAACTATCATAAACTCAATTTGTTTTTATACAATTTTTTTCTTGCCATTTATTGACTGTTTTATGCTTTTTATGTATCAATATAGACAAAATTCTCATATTTCCAGTTTCAATTTCGTCAAAAAACGAAACATTTCACAGAATTCTTTTCAAACTGAAACGAAAATATTGTTCCATATCAACAAGGCAAACATTTAAAATGCATATTGAGCGTGTTTGGACGAAAAAAACAACAACAACAACTACAGATTAGGATCAATTAAGAAAGTAAATGTCATTTGAACTCTGGAGTTTAGAATTATCTTCTTTTTTTCCAAGAAAATGAAATAATGCTTTGGAAAAATGTCTCCCATGAATCATACAACGATCGTTTATCAAATATTTGTCATCATTTTGCATTGATAAAATAAAAACTCAAGTGATGGACTTCGATGAATTTCATTTGGCGCGTAATATCCACGCTAAATGAGTAAAAAAATACGATGAGAAATTTATCTAGAGAGACTAACAAATATAGTCGAAAATAACAAGCACACGCATACATTAACCAAATCCAAAACGAACAGAAACGACACACATTGATACAAAAGTAAGCTCGGTGTATTTGTATAGGCAATATAATGCCCATAGATACTTTAGGCATAATTTTGACACATTTATTTCATACTTTGGCTAAAATACGCATCGCACATAAAACGCACATTATTATTCTCTGTCGGTGTGTGTTTCTCTCTCTCTCTCTCTCTTCCTTCTGCCTGGTTGATCTACTAAAGTATGATAAGGTGAGGCTTCGTTCACATCGATTAACTCCGAATAGAATGTGCATTCGTTAATTATGAACATTTTGAATTCTCGATATTTTTACGCATTGCATCTCTAGAGATACAATGGGATAGAGAGAGCAAAAAAAGATCAACAATTCAATATTTAATGACCCGATCAAACACCAATTAAATGCAAAACAAGCCCATTGTATTTTACGCATTTTATTTCACGTTTCATTGAACTTTTCATGCTATCCTGCACTTTGCAAACAATTTCATGGTAGAACGTAAATTTTAATTGGCATAGCCTTGATTCGTGCCTTTTATTTTATCTAAACGGTGATTTATATCACAAATAAAAACGCAAAAAAGTTTAACATTTTGTTAAATTCATCAAATTAGCCAGATAAAAAGATTAAATGCTTTCGATGTAAATGATTAACAACGCTCTTTGTTTTGTAATAAAAATTGCATTTTTTTGAACTCACAAAGAATCAGACAATATATTGAATTAACTGGTCAATTGAGCTGACAGTACGTTAGCCAGCTAAATGGGCTAAAACAATAGACGTTATTGTTTTAATAGAAGTGATTGTTCATCATAACAATAACTTTTATTGTTTTGATCCATTTAGCTGGCTAACGTACTGTCAGCTCAACTGACCAGCTACTTCAATATATTGTCTGCAAAGAATGAAGCGAATGAGTTTCAAGAAAAAAACAGTCGTTTCAACAAAGAAGATGATCCACGAGAAAATGTAATAGAGGAGCAGACATCTTTTTAAATCAAACTTTTTGTTTCAATCAAACAGTTTTGAAAAGATGAGAAAATCAACATTAGATTGATATTAAAAAAAAACATGTGATTATCGAGTATGCTGGCAGTTTGCAATCATAGGCTCTGACATATAGATAGACAGATTTTCAAAATTTCAAAAATATTCAATTTAGCTAGGGGTTTTTCGGCTGGAGACCTCACGTTCGATAAGTTTTTCGGTAGTTGAAAGCCATCTAGAAACTTCAAAAATATTGACGTTCGTTTCATATTTCTCTTTATTTTTTGTGTTACAGAAAACAACCAAAAACATTTGCATTCGATCATTGCTTTTATTCAACGGACAAAGATGCACCACACTTTGCATCGCAGGAGCATGTATTCGATTCGGTTGGCCGTGATATTTTGGAAAATGCATTCCAAGGATATAATGCGTGCATATTTGCATACGGACAGACAGGTAATGATTCAAGATGATTCAGGCACTTATAAAATGAATAAAGAAAGAAAGCACGTAAAGCTTATGTTCTTTGGAAGTATTTTTTCGATTTAAAAATGGGAAAAAAGTCTCAATCTACAAAATAATGAATAATTATTTTAAGTTTATTAATTGTTGTTATTCTTTGTCAATTTTTTCGAAAACCGAACAAAATTGTAGGTTCTGGAAAATCTTACACGATGATGGGATCGCAAGATAATAAAGGAATTATACCAAGATTATGTGATGAACTTTTCTACTCAATTTCAACAAAACAAACGCAGGATTTATCATGTAAAGTTGAAGTATCGTATATGGAAATTTATAATGAAAAAGTGCATGATTTGCTGGATCTAAAGCCAAACAAGCAATCGTTACGAGTGCGTGAACATAATTTACTTGGTCCATATGTGGATGGTTTGTCACAATTGGCGGTCACATCATTCGAAGACATTGATAATTTAATGACAGAAGGTAATAAATCGCGTACAGTAGCCGCAACGAATATGAATGCCGAATCGTCACGATCGCATGCTGTATTCTCGGTGGTGCTAACACAAACCATAACCGATCAAAAATCCGGTGTTACGGGTGAAAAAGTGTCACGAATGTCGCTGGTAGATTTGGCTGGTAGTGAACGAGCGGTTAAAACTGGTGCCGTTGGTGATCGACTAAAAGAAGGATCAAACATTAATAAATCACTTACAACGCTCGGTCTTGTGATATCAAAATTGGCCGATGCATCGAGTGGAAAACGAAATGATAAATTTGTACCGTATCGAGATTCCGTACTCACATGGTTGCTCAAAGATAATTTGGGTGGTAATTCGAAAACGGTTATGGTTGCAACAATTTCACCAGCCGCCGATAATTATGAAGAAACATTGTCCACATTGAGGTGAGTATAGAAACAATTCAATGAATGGACGAAGTGTTTTCCTTGTATTTGATAATTGATTTAATTATTTTCTTGCTTTGTAGGTATGCCGATCGAGCGAAACGAATTGTCAATCATGCTGTCATAAATGAAGACCCAAATGCTCGTATAATTCGTGAATTAAGAATGGAAGTGGAAGCATTACGAGAGATGTTAAAACATGCAACCGGTTCGCCGGTCGGCGATATTGACATTCACGATAAATTGGCCGAAAGTGAAAATCTCATGAAACAAGGTAAACCTAATACCAATTTATTTATTATTATTTTTTTAAATTAATTTTTTATTATTAATAATAATTCGTTTATTCAAGTTTAGTTAATTAATTAAATAATTCGTTTATTCGTTTTAAAGTGTCACAAACGTGGGAAGAGAAATTGGTGAAAACGGAACGTATTCAAAATGCGCGTCAACAAGCGCTGGAAAAAATGGGCATCAGTGTACAGGCGAGCGGCATTCAAGTGGAAAAGAATAAATTTTATTTAGTTAATTTAAATGCGGATCCATCGCTCAATGAATTGTTGGTGTATTATTTAAAAGATCGAACATTGGTTGGCGGTATAAGTTGTACAATACCACAGCCCGACATTCAACTCAATGGTTTGGGCATTCAAGACGAACATTGTACACTGTCAATTGAAGATGGTAGCCTATTTATGGAGCCAATAAATAATGCACGTTCATTTGTAAATGGTTCGGCGGTAACATCGAAAACATTGTTGCGACATGGTGACCGTATTTTATGGGGAAATCATCATTTTTTCCGTGTAAATTGTCCAAAAACAGCAAAAAATGGATCAAATCATTCATCCGAACCACAAACACCAGCACAAACCATTGATTATGCATTTGCGCGCGAAGAACTTATGCAAAATGAAATGAGTAACGATCCAATTCAAGCGGCCATCGAACAATTGGAGCGACAACATGAAGAGGACAAACAAACCGCATTGGAGAAACAACGATTGGAATATGAACGTCAATTTCAAAAGTTGCGAAACATTTTATCACCAACAACACCATATGCACCATACATTCCATACGATCCGTTGAAAGTGGGCAAAGTGGCCAGCACACCAACTACACAAATGCGCGTCGAAAAATGGGCACAAGAACGGGATGAAATGTTTCGGCGATCACTTGGTCAACTCAAAGCCGACATTGTACGTGCCAACGCATTGGTACAAGAGGCCAACGTACTTGCCGAAGAAATGGAAAAACAAACCAAATTTAGCGTTACACTACAAATTCCACCGGCCAACCTCAGTCCAAATCGACGGGTGAGTGGTTCTATTTTCTCAAATTCATTTTTTCTTTGCGAAATGTGGGACAATGTTTGATAACCATTTTTATTGTTGTGTCATGTTTTCAGCGCGGAGCGTTCGTAAGTGAACCGGCCATTTTGGTGCGTCGCGTTAATTCGGGCAGCCAAGTTTGGAGCATGGAAAAGCTAGAAAATAAATTGGTCGATATGAGAGACATGTACCAGGAATACAAAGAACGATTGATTAGCGGACGTGTAAGTAAACTTCGCTTTAAGTTCGTTTCATCATAGACGACAAGAATTAACATCTATTTTTAAACTTTCCTAAAAAACTAATAACTAATCATAAATAAAATCATTTCTTTCTATCATACTAAATACAAAAAAGCCCATTGTGGATCCTCGTGTGGATAATGATGATGATGAGGTACAGATCATTCTCAAAACTTACTCAATTGCTTTATTTGGCACCTTCTGTTTGTAGCTTTTGTCTCTATGCTTGTGTGTTGCGGGTGAAAATTTGAAACAATAAACGTTTTCTGTAGAGCTATTATAGGTACCGCAGAGGTGCGACCACAATTCTTTCGGCTCTTTCTTGAAATAAGGTGAAAAATTATATGGAATAAGTGTCCCCACTTCTTCGGTGCCAATACCAGCTCTCTTTTGTCAAAATTTATTCGCTGATTCAATGTATTTTGCATTTATTCTTCGCTTTATTTTATTCATTTAATTCGTCGCACGGTGTTGCGTTGATAAGATATGATACTCAATATGACATCTAATTTGTTTTTATTATTCTGACTACAGGACGATGAATCGATTAAAACATTGGATCCATTTTATGAGTCTCAAGAGAATCACAATTTAATTGGTGTTGCAAATATATTTCTTGATGTATTGTTCCACGATGTGAAATTGGACTATCATACGCCAATCATAAGTCAACAAGGTGAAGTGGCGGGTCGTTTACAAGTGGAAATCAGCCGAACGGCCGGTCAATTGCCACAAGATCGAATGTGTGAAACAGCATCCGACTCATCGTCCGATTATCGTGACGATGATTACATGAATGATTCGATAAATAATCAAGTTACATGTCGTATAACAATTAAACAAGCAACCGGTTTACCATTGTCACTATCAAATTTCGTATTTTGCCAGTACACATTTTGGAATCATCAAGAAACCGTTGTACCGGTTGTTAACTCCGAAGCGCCACGTCACAATCAAAATATGTCATTCAATTTTGATCATTCGCAAGAATATACGGTCACAATAAATGAAGAATTCCTTGAACATTGTTCGGAGGGTGCATTATCGATTGAAGTATGGGGTCATCGATCGGCTGGTTTTTCACGTAACAAAGGCTGGGAGGTGGAACAACAACAAGCCAAAGCCCGTTCATTGGTCGATCGTTGGGCCGAATTGTCGCGTAAAATTGAATTATGGATGGAAATTCATGAGCTAAACGATAATGGTGAATATACACCGGTCGAAGTGACCAATCGTACGGACGTACTAACCGGTGGCATTTATCAATTGCGACAAGGACAACAGCGTCGCATTCAAGTGCGCGTTAAACCGGTACAAAATTCCGGCACATTGCCAATTATATGTCAATCAATTTTAAATATTGCCGTTGGCAGTGTAACTGTACGCTCAAAATTACAAAAACCAATGGATTCGTATCAAGAGGAAGATTTAACGGTGTTACGTGAAAAATGGAGTGAAGCGTTGGGACGCCGTCGCAAATATTTAGATCAACAAATTCAAAAGCTTATTAACAAAGAGGATAAAACGGAAGAGGAACGTGAACGTGAATTGAGTTTGGTCCATCAATGGATTTCATTGACCGAAGAACGAAATTCAGTGCTTGTTCCAGCCGCTGGATGTGGCATACCCGGTGCTCCGGCCAATTGGTGTCCACCACATGGCATGGAACCGCATGTTCCAGTTTTATTCTTAGATCTCAATGGTGAGTGCTCAACTTTCACCTTTAATTGCACAACTCTTTTTTGAATCGCTATTTGCATCGGATAATCGATGCAAATGCATTCCAGCTTGCATACGCTCGGGTTGTGAAGGTTACCAAAGGCCATTGAAATTGACCTTTTGTCGACACATGGTTGTTGTTTTTTTGTTTGAAAAATTTATTTTGTTGTTTTTTTCAACAGCCGACGATATGAGCGCACAAAATTCGAATGAAGAGGTGCCCATTGCCGGAATCAATTCCATTTTACCCAAAGAGCACGGAAATAAATTTTATACATTGCAAATTCTGCAGCATTTAGAGAAGGATGTGTGTGCCATTGTTAGCTGGGATTCGTCACTGCATGATAGCCAAGCATTGAATCGCGTCACTGAAGGTAAACACAACACGTTAACGTGTGTGGTGGGTGTGTTACCCACATGCAACATTTACATTTTATAATTTATGCACATTTGTCGGCTCCGATTTCGTCCGATTTACTAATTTTATTCATTCAAATATTGATTGCAGCCAATGAACGGGTATATTTAATTTTGAAAACAACTGTACGCTTATCACATCCAGCACCAATGGATTTGGTACTTCGCAAGCGAATTAGTTTAAATATTTATAAACGTCAAAGCATCGCGGAGCGTTTAAAGAAATCAAAATGGTTGGGACGCAGTGATTTGAATATTACACAGACTGGTGTTACCTATGAAGTTGTATCCAATATACCAAAAGCATCGGAAGAACTGGAAGATCGTGAATCATTGGCTCAATTGGCGGCCAGCGGTGAAGATAGTTCAGCATGCGATGGCGAAACATACATCGGTTTGTTTGTTTTCATATCTTTTTTTTACCAGCACCATTACTCGAACATTAAGTTCAGCTGTTCCATTGAATAATTTCCAAATATAAAAGTAGCTTCGTGACTTTCAACTGAATTTATGTGAAATGAATTGGTTATTCGTTCATTTTTTTTAAATAGAAAAATACACGCGTGGTGTGTCGGCAGTTGAAAGTATTTTAACATTGGATCGTCTGCGGCAAAGTGTTGCAATTAAAGAGCTAGAACAAAGCCATGGTCAATCATTGTCAATGCGAAAGACCGTCAGCGTACCAAATTTCTCACAGGTATGGACTTTTTGTTGTGTGCAAAATGTTGTTGTTTTTTTTCTCTCTCTCTCTCTCTTTGGTTGGTTATACTTTTTTCCATTTTCAATGCAATAAAGCAATGGCCTGTTTACTTTTAATATGTGTGTACTATATATATGCCATAAGTTTGAATAGTACTGTCTCACACAATTGCAATTCACCTGTGCGAAAACAAGAAATAAATTGTTTTCATTTCTTTCTTTCTTTTTTTTTTTTGATTTAATCGCTGTTGATTTATCCATTTTTGCATAAAACTGAAAATAACTCACTCATTTCCCATTTCACGTAAAACAAAAACCAACATTAAATGAAATTAATAGACCAAAACACGCTAACACAATTTTTTTAATACAAAAAAAATGTGTATGACTCATTTACTCAAAGCCATTGGATTTGTTACAAAAATTGCCGTTTTTAATTTTCTTGACACTAACCATAAAAAATATGTTGTATTAATGTCTAAAGAAAACCCAATTTAAAAAAAATACCACCATAATATCTTCCTTTAATTTTAATCATTTATTCTTGACTTTTTTCTGCTTCTTTTTTATATCAAAAAATCTTGCACTAAAACTAAACAAAAATGCTGCCATTCTTCGCACGTATATACACATTGAATTCTAACAAATCACCATCTAAAACCATATTACTTAACAAAAAAAAACGTAAAACAAACAAAATTCGAAAATCATTTGCAACTTTCAATATTAAAGGCTGTGAAAGACACAACACACAATATTGGAGTAAGTATTGTTTTCATTCAAATTAATTTTATCCAATTAACATGCACTATACCATTCTTAATTTCATTTGGTTATCTGTGTATCTAGTATTTGGTTCTATGGGCATTTGGTATTGCTCAATATCGTTTCATTTTCGTACTTCATTTTTTTTTTTGCTTTTATTCATTCGGAGAAAGAATCGCTTATCTCTTTTGAAAATGTTCGAATGTGTTTAAAATTCTTGGAGCGAACGTTTTATAGCAGTCACTTCGATTAATTTCCATTGCTTGCCTCTCATTTAGATTATGCGTTTTGATGCATCGATGGAATCACTGATCAACACCGGACGCTCTGAATCATTCGTTGATCTTAACGAAAGCGATTTAGCACTATCCAGATCGGTTTTGAATCAAGGTCGTGACATGTTTATTTCGTATCAAGGTAAGACTTTTTAAAAAACGATTTTCTTAGATGAAATAATGTTGAATCGAAGAGTGCCGAAATAAATGGGGCCTAACATTTGATTTGGAGAAAGAAATTTGGTCCAAATCTTATTGTGCTTCAAAAAATGAGAAAACATCGATTCATTTAATGGAAATGCCAAGCAAAAAACGAGTAAATATGTTAATTTCTTGAGATCCTTGATCTAGCACGCCAAGCAATAACTAACAAAGAAAATTATGAATTTTTCCAAAAAAAAAAAAAAAAAAATCAACTCGTTTTCCGTTTTCAATAAAATGCCTCTATTTATTTGACCAGGTCATGGCGGTGCAAAAGGCATAAATGATGAATCAATCAGTGGATCGTCAAAACAATATGGACTCGGTAAGTTTCCCACAAGCATCGTCACAATCATACAACACGGGATTTTTTTTCTTCATTTTTTCTCTTTCGATGTCAACAATGAAAGCAAAATCATATCATTTCTATTTTCGTCTCTTTCGTTAAAAATGTCTCTTTCATTTTTGTTTTTCGAAATATAAATGGTGAACCAGGCGATATTGTTTGCTTTTGTCAGTTTTTAATCGTAATAAATTTTGTAAATCGAAACAAATTGGCTGTGAATGTTTCAACATTTTTGTTTTTTTCAATGTCCGACACAGACATTTTCAAGATCATGCAAGACAGTAATTGTCATGATTAAGGAAAATATTCATACTGACAATGTGGCATTGAATCAACTATTTGTTTCAATTCTGGTTACTTGAATCAAATAGCGATAATTCTTATTGCGAACACTAAATTTGAAACGAAAAAAAAGAAATAAAATGTTTACATCTGAGAATAGATGATCGTTTCCCAGAGAAAGATAAAAAACGACTTGAAAGCGCAGATTTATCGAAATTATAAAAAAGCGCTTATCGCCACTTATCTTTCTCAATCATTTAATATACGGAATTAATTCAATTGCTTATATTGCATTTAAAATATTTAAATCGAGCCTTTTTTACATAATCATATATAATCAACAGTTGACTGTTTGTTCATTTACATATAATATTGCTTCAGCGAAATATAGCTTGCGTTCCATTTTTAAATGACAAAAATATATACCACTACCATTTTTCGTTGTTGTTGCTTTATCTTTTTATGCAGTTTGTATCTCTTTCTGAAAATGGCTTTAAATTCGATATATATATTGAATCGATGATGATGAACAATTCCTTTTATATATTTAAATAATAATTATTTCAGGCTGGCAATTACTAATATAGCTCGCTGCTCTATTTTTCATTCCAACAATTTAAAAACAAACAAAAATCGAAAGATGAAACATTATTTAATGCCACTTAAAATATATAGTTTCGTATTTATTCGGATTGATGAAGGTGTACAGTCGACCCTCGGCAATTCGAATCATTTGGTTTTCAGCAAATTTCCTTTATGAAAAAAAAAAATATTCACATTTTTGGATTCTCTTCCCGACTGTACGTGAATACGATGAAACTCCCATAATGTTTTATCTTTCATACAATGTAATCCCAAATGCAGTAGTCCTTTGGATTTATTGTTATTCATGTATTTCCGTTGCCGGAATTTTATTGATCTCAGTGAAGCAAAATTGAATTACACACACAGACTATATGAACTTTTGATTTATAATCGGGCAAGTCGCCAAATTCTGACAAGGAAAAAAATACTCACCATCATTTGATCAACGTTGATTCGCTGTAATGTGCGTGCAACATTAATGCGCACGAGATTAATATGTCCAGTTGATAAAATCGTTGAATAACAATAAATTTATTGGTTTTTTAATATTCTTCATAACAATAATAAACGACTCATTCGGCATCAGTTTGCCGAACCGTTTAACATATAGCATTTTGATAAATTGCAAATTAAACATATAATTATACACTAATTATAATCGAATAGCCCTTATTTTAAATATACGCAACGCTATATCTTTTGATACATTTTTTTAATAATAAAAAAAAAACAATAATCCCTTATAGCAAAAAATAATTGCATTTTTAGCATTTATAATATCTATTTTGTTTTACATGTCATCCACAATATATATTTACCTGATTCTCTAGGTCATTCAAATGTAGCGCTAGTGATGCAATTTTTTTTAACAATTTTCATTCAGACAAAAATCTGTGTGATTGAGTGATGTTACACTTCACGTTCGCCGTGTGCAAATACGTTCATCTAAAAGCACCAATCCTATCCACCATTCGATTACGTCTCAAGTTAATCATTTGATCATTTTTTTATGGCAATTTTCATATACATACAATTTCGCCAGCAACAATGATCACCACATCGAAAACATTTAACTTTACTCATTTGATCACATTTTAGCTTGACATTTTTTTTTTGATAAATCATTTGATTTTCACATTTTGACAAATTTCATACATATGATAGGTTTGCACACATACACACACACATTCATACAAACGGTGATCAAATGAAAAAAAAAATTATTCAAGTGAAGCACCTTATGCGTTTTTATGTTGAACGTTTTTTACCACGAAAAACTCGTGAATTTATAGGAATTTCAAACTGGCCAAGTGCTGTCCAACGGGCTTCTTATTTTAAATGCAATTATTTCAAGAAAATACTGCGAGCATAAACAAACATCAACTGGTACAAAAAGACTATCGATTTTTTTCCAACTATAATTTTCATACAATAAAAGTAGGGACTTCCTTTTAAGATAATTACCATGGGATATCGGAATATTGTCAAAAGGAAAACCAAACTAATAACAAACCTACTATAAATATTCAATAGACTTTTGTTATTTATTTCGTGCTGGCTTTTCATTTTCGTTGTTTCTCTAAAAAAAAGAACTGAGCGATATCAGTGTTGTTTTTCTATACAAATCAATAGAGATTTAAAAAAGACTGTTTATCTAATTATTTTTTTCATTCAAAATTTCATACAAACGCATATCAAACTTCTCGTTGTATTTCCGTTGTAAATCGTCAAGGCTCTATCCTGTCAGGTAAACATCAAATGGAATCAAACAAAACAAAAAACACACAACTTAGGCGTAACGAATTATGTTTTTTGTCGAATTTATATTTGAAAAAAAAAAAAAAAAATCTGAATTTTCGTTTTCCGGAAAATTCGAACCCGAACAAATCGATCTGTTTTTATTTTATTTATTTCCATATTCTTTTGAAATCTCTCTGTAAATTATTCACGTTTTTGTTTGCAGTAAAATAATGTTTTTTGCTACTCTCAACCTTTTTTGTCGCTAATCCTTCCATTTATTTGGTTTTTTTTATATTTTCCTAGCGATGAATGATTTTGAGTTTTTTAGCTTTTTCCGCAAATTATTTTTGAATTTTTTTTTAAACAAAAAAAAAGGTCGCTTAGACGACTTATCTTTCTATCTCTCTTTCTCTCTCACGATTTTTTTTTGTTTCGTTCAATTCCGTCCGTTGCTACAATTTTGTTTAATCGTTTCTTTTGTTTTACTCTTACGTTTTGACTTGAAAGATATTGAACGGGAAAATAAATGTTAGATTACTTGATGAATGATCTTATTTTGTATAAAAACACAAAGAAAACTTAAAACCGATTAAGACAAAAAAATCATACAATGAACATAGAGGCTTGACTTGAATTTTCAAAATTTTCAAATTGCATCTCAAATCATTACATGCATGCGTTCGTTGCTTTTTTTAGTTCAGATTTTTGCTTGATATTTTTCGTTGAAACTTTTTTTCTTTGAGCATGGCTTTGATTGTTGTTGGGGAAAAATGCAGCTTTTTTCGACGAAAAATGAAACAAATCGATAGCACGATCGATTTTACTTTTGCAGAGGTACAAAGCGTTTTAAGGTAAAATGACATTTTCATTTTTCGTCATTTTCTTCTGCATTTATCCTCCATTTAGATGTTATCTAGAGTTTGAATCCTATTTAGCTACTCCACTTTAGTTTTCATATATGTTTTAGAGTGTGCAATGTGCTGTAGAGTATAATAACCCGATGATTTTGTGTAAATATTCATTTTGATCGGATTCAATGCGAAAAAAAAGACAAAAAAGAAGTTATATCGCTTTGAATGAACATTTACTCAAATCATTTTGACCATTTTCCATTTTAAATTTTCTTTAAGAACACAATCTGCAATTTTCTGTGGCATTTTGTGTCACAATGAGCACGATCAAAGGCTCAACCAGAAGAAATTATATTCATTTCATAATAAATGACATTAATGTAACCCTCTCTATAACATTTATCATAACACATGCTTACATTGAAATTGTTACGGATCATGCAGCTCGACCAACATTCTTGAATCTAAATTTAAATCTGAATTCACTGCGCCTGCAACAAACGTCTTCAAAACGTACGTTTTTTTTATCGAAATAAAATCTCCTTATTCTTTTTCTCGCTCTCTTTGTTTATAGAGAGTTTTGTGTGAAAATCTGTGTGTCTTTGGGTATATTTTGTTTTTGAAAAACCATCATTTTATATTGTTTTTTTCCCTTCCAAAATATGACAATTTCGACTAACATTTATTTGTGTGTTTAATTATTTAGCATCGCCGGCAAGTGGTAAGCTTGGCTTACGAATGACGACACTGCACGAAGAGCCATCATCACGTCACACCTTAAGCGAAGAAGTTGAAGAAAATTATAGTGACTCTGAATTGAATCAATTTGATGAGAGTGCCGTTCGAAAGCCACCATTAAAATCACGTTTTCCCACAAGCAAAACGATGGGCTCATTACGTGATATCGGAAACAATTATCCATCGATAAGTAGTTCAACGTGTATTTCAAATAATGTGACAAAAAACGTGCGAAAAAACGCGACAAACGCCTCGAATAAACCATTAGCATCCGGCACGCCAAGCATGACCTCATCCACATCATCTAGTGGCTATGGATCACAGGTATTTATTACTTCTGTCTGAAGCACTTTGAATGGTCAATCTACATCTTTTTATAGAAATGAACCAAATTTAATGGATGTGGTATTTTCTTTTCACAGGCGGTTAGCAATAGCAATCTTACAAATGACGATGCTTTGTCGCTACGCTCAATGAGTGTTGATGAGACTCCAGGTAAAATGACATTATTATTATTTTGTAAATATCAAAAGTAACTAATATTCGATAAATTTCATAGATTTTGATCGAATTGGTTCGTCGCCGCCGAAACAAAATTCACAATTGACGACGACACCATATACGCCGGGTAGTGGACAAAAACGATTCAATCCATTCATGAAAGATACACCATCATCGATTTCAGACTCACCATCGGATAGTCCAAACGATAAAGCGATACAATCGAAACAAACAATCGCTCAACAAAATGAACAACAAAATGACGAAAATAAAAACATTATTATTCTAAACGACGATAACAACCAAAACGTACTCAACACACAAAATAAAGAAAATCACAATCAAACATTGTCACAAACAACAACCACCACCACCAACAATACAACACCAAAGACATTTATTGAAGATGAAACAACCGCGACAACACCAGTTAAAATGATCAACAACGATTCTGATGCAAATGAAATGAACTTATCACATAGCGAAACCCCATTACCCGAATGGATCACGCTCAACGAATCAGTCCTCATTAGGCCATACAACCATAGCGGTGTCATCAGTTTTATTGGACCAACACATTTTTCGGTAAGCCATCGACAATCGAAAAAAAAGGGTCACCACCAAAGATTATATAGCGATTTTGAAAAAAAATAAAAACAATTTTTATGACATTTTCAGAGCGGTACATGGATTGGAGTCGAATTAGATACGCCACAGGGTAAAAATGATGGAACCGTTCAAAATATTCAATACTTTTCATGCAAACCCAAACATGGCATTTTCGTACGAGGTGATAAACTAATTCAAGACAAACGCGGCAAAGCTATGCGAGCTTATAAAGCGGAAAAACTAGCCAAAGGTACTTTTTCATATTATTTACTTATTATTAAGCACTTTTGACGAGGTTTTTTTTGTTTGACCGGAATGCTCCGCCCGGCCATCCCCCTTCTTTTCAATTTTTCACACTAGATACAATTGACCTTTTCCGGGATTCCCTATAGATTTTCGCCATAACTCCAATATATTTGTGAATCTCAATTTGAGATAATTTATGGCATTTTTTTTCTCATGAAAACTGTGATTCGAATTACGAAGAGATTAATTCGATTGGTAAAGATAATTTTAACCAATTTCAACTTTTGTTCATTTACAGAGCGTGAAAGTTCATTGACGCGTTCAAAGAGCCGTGGTGATTCATTGAATACAGTTGGAACGGCGCGTAAGTGATTGTATCGGAAATGTTCTCACGACATTGATACGGTTATAACGCATCCATCAACAGCCGATCGTCCGCCGTCCGGTCGAAAAGTCAATCGTCGACCGATGATCAAGTCGAAATCAATGCAAAGTGGGAACATTTCATCTCCAAAGCTAATAAATCGCAAATGGAAATATTAGAAGTAATTTATAAAAAAAAACCAACAACACAAAGTTCATCCGCACTATGAAACGTTATAAACAAAATGACATTTTCAATAAATGTGTAATAATGCAAGTTATATATGTTAAAACTGTCCGAGAGTGGTCAGCACAAAACAAAATGTGAGAACAAAAACCAGCAAAAGCAACAAAAGAAACATATTGATGTTGTTATAAACATACATTCACACACACACACACACACACACACACACACACACACACACACACAAAAACACACGAAACTATGCAATAATATGAAGAAGAAAAAAATGAGTAGCCCGTGTTTTCTCTATGTGCCTTTGAAATGGCACGGACGCAGAAGTCTGCACCTTTGCGTATATTTATAAAGAATGAAAGAAATGTGAGAGTGTAGCTATATATGTGTATGTGTGCGACATTAGTTGTACGTCTGAATACAAGTGAACAGTATCATCATTGAATACGCAAAGGTGCAGATTTCTGCGATTGTGCCATTTGAAAGGCACAACGAGGGAACACGGGAAGAATGATAGAAAAGAACTTGTTGTGTTGTGAATGCAAAAGAAAAAAAAACAACACACAAATACAAAATTATGAATTAAATTTAAAAAAAGACGGGAAAAAGCAAGAAAAAAAATTAGAAAACCTAAAGTAATAAATTAAAGCATATCGTTTAAATTAATTTCTATATTTCTTGTGCAAACATTTTTTTGCGTTTTCTCTGTATTTCTATCGATAGCAAAATATTTAGGCATTGCAAACTCAATCACACTGAACAATGACACATGCGAACGAGAGTGATATAGATAAAAAAAAATCTTTCGACCAATTTATTTGTTTGCTTCTCTAAAGACAAAAATCTTGGTTAGTTTCATCCGAGCCCAATATCTTTTTGTGTCAATACATAATCAAATCCCATTGTTTTTGTTGCCGAAAATAATATGCATAGGTTGCTTTCTGTGTGAATGAAAACGTTGAATGAAAAAATTTAATGAAACAAATATTCTGACAAAAAAATATTATAACATTATGAAAGTAGAATTTAAACGCTTTCGGTGTCAAAGTGTGATTTTAGTTTAAATTTTAGAATAACATCATAATTTCCGTGCAACAAAAAAATCTCTGATTCCGTATTATATTTTATAAATTATTTTGAATTGGTTTTTTTACACCATCAAAATGGTGGCGAGAAAAAAAAACGATGAAAAATTTGGTGCATAAATATGGTACTGATTACAGCTGAATTGCGATGTTACAGGCCGTAAAATTTTACGACAAATGTACATCCTTATGAGAGACGTGCGTTTGTAATAATTTTTTATTTCAGTCTGCCGAAAAATAAAACAACAAACAAAATAACATTTTTTTACCAATTTTGAGCTTTCAGTTCTTGTATCTTATGAATTTAGTCCGATTTTAATTCGTTTAATTTCAAGAATTTTTCTTTGTTCGTGTAATATCGCACATGAATTTTTAGATATGATTTATATTGTTAAAGTTATTAGGTGTTAATAAATTATGCATGTTTGTATATATATACAATAACTGTAAAACTATACTGTCCAAATGAAACATAAAGGAAAGAAATAACAAGACACAATGATAGAAACTAACAAAAATCGACGAAAAAGAAGAATGAAAAGGCTAGACCCTCAATGAGATCGAAACAGAGAGAGAATTACACAATGAATAAACCATTTTATTTTAATTAATTTTGATCGATAGCAATAAATTGTGAACAATGGGACAAAAGTAAAATTGAGTATGTCTGTAGGATAAATCAGAAACTTAAAAATCTAATAATAATTGAACATTTTTCGAAATGATATGTATTAAGTAAATGTGAAAGATAAAAAGAGAGAAAAAAATTTGGAATATTTTATGAATTGGATTTTAAGGGAAATCAATAAATGATTTTTTTAAACTATAAGCACACACACACGCAAAAGAAAAGAAAATACGGCGTACGCACGCTGCTTGCCTTATTTGTTTTTTTTTACATGTATTATTTTGAGATTTTTCTTTTAAAATTAAATCTCGTTTTTTTAGTTCAAATTGTATAAAAGAATATTGTATTATAAACAACATTCCGTTTTGAAAAAAAGACATTGTTTTCGTTTTTTTCTATGGTTTAATCTATGTTTTGTTTTTCTGTTAATTTTTCTTTTTATTGCCCGATTCTCATTATAAGTGTATTTTCTTATTTTGATCATCACTTGCTACTCAAAATACCATATATATATTTTTGCACATCTTTTTGCCGAAGATATGCCTTCGAAATTGTAGCCGAAACGATGATAAACGAATCAAAATTCAATCATCGATAACAATCAATTAAATAATAATTACATAAAAACTTCGTTTGAAATGCAAAATTAGTGACAACATAAAATAAATGGATTTTGCCATATCTATGCAAATTAAATTCTTGCCTATTACATCCGATTTTTTTTATCGCACAATAACATCGAATGTGTTCTTTCTTGGTTCTAATAATTTTGTGCATCTAAAAATTGTAAACCAATAAGAAACAATACTATTTAGCTTCTCGCGGTCACATAAACAATGACATACATAAGAAGGTTTGTCAATGAATTGCAGACAATGTACTGAGATGAAAATAGGTGTCTCTTGTTTTAACTGGGCGTTAAAGCTAATTTCAGTCAGATAATTTCTTTCACCAAGCCCCAAATATCCCAGTACAATGTCTAGGGAGATTGTTTCTTTTGTGTCAAGCATTCGCTCTTTACCAGCACGATGACAAGTATTTTCACCATTGAATAAAGGATTTATGGCGATAAAAAATATGAAGGAAATATTAATCAAACGATCGAATGATTTCTTTTCAAACATATTCTTTAGTAAATTAAAAAAATCCAAATGTTTTCACAGTGAAAAAATGCGCTTCGTTCGTTTTGTTTATTATCATTTAATATATCATTGTTTATTATCGTTCAATAACGATGCCTGTTACTCGTCCGTACCACCTTTCGCCCATAAATTTCCAATCACACATATTCAAATTTCGTGAATTTTATCAATGAAAAGATTTTTTTAAAAACATTTTCTCATCAAATAATTTTTGACACCTTCAACAGCGGAAATCATTTTTAACGATGATAATTGTTGATGTCCCCTAGAAACATTTCAAATCATTTGTTATTAATCAAAGTAATTTTATATTGATATGCAGTTATGTAATTTTTTGTTTAACGAACAAACATTTCACAAATTAATCGAGAACATAACATGAAGTCGTACTTAGTAAGCGTCAAAAGAGTATTGTTTACTTGTCAGGAGTCGCTCCTGAATTCGTATTACTATACAGCGCACCTTTCATAGCTAGGAGCGGATCCCAGCAAGCGTGCTCTTTGTGATTGATAATTTCCTGCTCTGATCCTGAGAATCGACAAAGTAGCGGCTGATACAGATCCAAAAATGTAATAAAAATGTCATTTTTCGTGCATGTAAAATGCTTGTGTGAGTATAATCCAGCTGAAATGAAATTAAAGTGAAAAAAGTGAGAGAAAAGCAAAAAAGGTCCCAAATAAAAACCGATAAAGATATTGAATCACATTCTCAAATTGTTGAAAGATTTTGTTAATTTTGATGATGTATAATTGGCAATTTGACAATTCTTTTATCACAGCACACATTTTTTTCAGAAAAAAATCCCAAAACAAAAAGAAATAAACTTCATGGTAATAGTTGTCGATACATGAGGGAGGCTTCTATGATAGAGAAAGTCGAATATGACAGATGACATGATAAATAACCGCCCGTAGTCATAGATGAAATGAAACACACATACACAAATACTTAGAAAAGTAAAAAAAAATGCGTCCCTCTACACAAATTTATGACGAGAAAATGATGATATATAAGCAATTTGCAAACTGTCCATTGTTAAAATGATAGCTCATATTCAAATGAAAATTGAATTAAAACCAAAAAAACCAAAGAAGAAGAAAAAAGTCGGTGAAAAAAACGTTTTTCTTTCATTCTCCAAGAAATAAAGCAAGACCAACACTCAAATTACGTCCTGTGGTTGTTATTATTGGAATTTACTGAGCATTCAGAAAAACGAACCACACAAAATGTGAAAAATCAATGAAATTACATAATTTTTATTAGAATAAAAGACAAAAATAAAATTAAATCTCACATTGAACATGATTAGATCCATCCATTTCTATTTAGGATATTTGTAGTGATATTAAAATCCATTGACATTTTTGAAATAAACGTATCGCATGCATGTCCTTTTTAGATAATAATTACATTGAAATCCCATTGAGAACAAGAACAACAACAACATTAATACACATATTATTGTCATTTGTACTAGAACAAAAACTGTCCATTTAATCCGTTTGATTTGAATAGCAAAACACTCGTTACAACCGATAAATGGAATCGATGATCATTCTTTTTTCATCACGATGCGATAATAGTAGATTTATCCACAGGCTGATGTTCAGAAGAGGGAGAATGGTGAAAAAATGAAAAAATCGAAGAAGGAAAGAGCGAGATCCCCATTGGGAGGAATGGAAATAATTTTGCTTAAAAGGTCAGTTCTAGCAGAAAAGTAAAGGGGAGAATTATTTTTCACCATTTCCCCTTCGCTGAGCACCGGTCTCTGAATATATCATTTAAATTCATCAACATGTGAACTGTTTTGCTCACATCCGGTATCATAAATAGCTCGTTTTATTGCCGACCCGAGCCAAATATAAATATTATAACTAACATCTACACTCCACTATACTCTGATAATCTTGTTTACATACATTTAACAACAAATAAATTGATATACGTAGCCCATAGATGTGTGGAACAACAATTATAACATCTACAAATAACAACAGCCAAAATGAATATCTTACGAATAAGTATAGAAAGTGATTTTGTTCTCTTTTCTAATGTCACCAATAAAAAAGCCGTCAGTCCAATTCTCTCCAGCAAACAAAAACAAATTACATTCAATAACACATTCATCAATTAAGTAATAATAATATTTAACAAACTGCAAAAATGTATCTCTTTTTAACAGAGAAAACGTTACGTCCGAAATGAATTTAGCCCTCAGCCCTTCCTAAACAGAATGAATCACACATAAAAGGGTAAACGTCATGTAATTTGATGTACAATTCCACAAACATTTTTCGATGACATAGAATATGCAACGATTTTACATTCAATCAAAATGTACAATTTCGTATTGAATTTTGCTTAACGCATTTGATATCACTCCAATCATTTTTTTGCATCGAAAAATCTTCGGAATTAATTTGATTCGATGTTCATTCAGTTCTGAACAAATCACGGTGAAATTAAAAAAAAAATCAAAATAAATGCACTTTTGTCTAAACTAACCAGTAAACGTTCAAATATGTCACATCCCGATTTTCGATTTTTTGCATTTAATCGGTAGAGAGACCCAAAAAAAAAAATAATTTGAACCATTTTTGCCCAAATTCATATTTGCGCTTTTTAGGCAAAAAATCGAAAATCGGGATGTGACATATTTGAACGTTTACTGGTAAGCGTCTATTTAAATGTCTATCTAGATCTATTCTAATCAATTGATTCTGTGCGCTTTTTGGGACTAATCGATTTTCAATTTAAGATCATTTTTTTCTAATACAAGAGCAGCAAAAAATGCTTAGATTGAAATCCGATATGCATGCAGATATGTTTCCGAAACAAATTGGAATCATTAAATTATATTGCTTACTAATATTTTCATAAGAACTCTCAACAGAATGAATATTTCCGCTGAAGTATTTAAAAAATTCACAATCTCCAGTTTTCCACATATTTACACTCTTTAAGACCCTGCTCGCACAGAACCATTTACTCGACGCAATTTCATCAATGGCATTGATCCAATTGATTCATGAAAACATTTCAATCATTCGCATGTCACATGATCGATGGCTTTACTTACTATAAACGTATCATTCCATTGGAGCACAGCTTACACATTTAAAATAAGTTCATGAAACCAAAAAGAGATAACTAATCTCGTCGACTTATTGTTAGAATTTAGAAACAAATTTATGCAAGGCTTTTATTCGAAAAAGAAAGTCAAATCATCAAAAGTCCAAACATTTTTACCGAAAAATCCTTTTAAAATGATCCATTTTGGATAAAAACCGATATTACATTAACAAAAGTAGATTTGCTTTGCTTTCGCTTAATCGCATGAGACAAGACAGTACAGTAACTCTCATCCATATAATAAGAAATGTAATTAAGTTTCATTGCATGATCAAATACGGTTACGTTTTATTGTCATATTAGTGAAAACAAACACCAATACAATACATTATTTATAAACATTTACCGTTATGCCTGTGACAACATAATAAAATAAACCCAAAACAGAACACACACACACATACACATATATAAATTAATGAACATGAACACACATTTTTCACAACTTAAAATGAACATTTATTATTCTCTTGAATATTTTTAATTTTAATTTCACCGTTTCTAAAATAGCAACACAACATAGAATAGTGAGAGCGAGAAAGTGTGTGACAGAGAGAGAGAGAGAAATATACAAAGAGGCATCTATGAATAGCAAAATGAAAGCAACTCTCAAAAAAAAAAATGCAAAATTGTAATTAGATGAAAAACCAAAATCCAGATAAAAAAAAATATGAAAAACAATGATAATTTTTTCAACAATGAGAATAAGATTTAAACAAACGGCAACAATTACGTTATTTAAGCATATTTAGTTTTATAACTAACAATAACAAAACTAAAAATAATAAAATAAAAAAAATGAAATGAAATTACTTAAACCAACAATTAAAAAAAGCACATACATATGAGAGGAAGATTTTCAAGCCAAATGAAGACATTTGAATGACTGTGCTACATCTTGTTAACGTAACCAAAAAAGTGGTATTGTCACGAGCTAGTTCCAATCATAATGCCAGCTATTTATTTTATTAAGATTGCAAAAGATTGAGCAATTTCATTCCAAAAACAAAAAAAAAAAAAACAACTAAAATAAATGTACATTCAATTATCCAATAATAATGGATGTTGTGTTTTATTCAAATTGAAAAGCGGTGAAAAGGGAAAATCCCAAAAGGAATGCAGATTAATAGCTTCGGAGTTCAAGTGCATCGATCAGATTGGCCACCATCTCCCACTGCAGAGAGGATTTCAAATTACCCCTTGTGGAAAAATGTTCATCTATTTGGAAGTGAAGATCTTTTTTTGGCTCATCGTTGCTGACTTCTTCTAATTTGCTATGTTTTTTTTTTTTGAAATTCAAAAAAGCCCCGCAAATGCTATATATAAAATATATAGAACAGAGAGAAAAAGCACAATGTCCGCAGCGCTTGGCGTACCACCGATATTTCCAACTGCTCCACTCATTCTTCCCGCTTCATATGCTGCTTTCTTGGTCGTATTTGCTACTTTTAATCTCGTATTCATGCGATCCAGCTCTCGTTCGAGCTTTTTCGTGGCTTTTTGGACAATATCATTGTCACCTTTTTTCCCGTTATTGAACTATGCATAGAGTATACCAAAATTAAAAAAAAAGCAAAGCTACGGTACACACATGAACGAGCCACTTACTTTTTGCTCCGATTCTGGCTTTGTGTTTACATATTGTTGTTGTAATTCTAAGTCGCTTGCATAATACGGACTGTTTTCGATGTAATTCAACAATTTCATGTCCAAATTAAATACGATATCATCGACCAATTCGTTATTGTCCTTGATATTCTTGTCCTGCAATTAAAACGTCATTATAACAAATTCAAATAATTAAAACAACATTTTGCCAGGTACTGTGATTATTCTTGCATGATTTTGAGAACTTTCTGATTTTGTCATGTCAATCTGCATTTTCAATTTACCCTTTGCTGTCTCTCCGCTTCTCTTTTCTTGTCGAGTTTAATTTGTTCTTCGCGCAATTTTTTACGTGTTTCTTCCCTTTCTGCCATGCTTTTTTCATGCATTTTTTGTTCGATTTCCCGTTTATTTTCATTATCCAATAAAAAAACTTTTGATTTTCTCTCTATATGGGCATCGAGTTGGCGTTCGAAGCTTTCCGAATTGTTAATTGATATTTCCATCTATTATGGATACATTGTAATATTACTATTATAATAAAAACTAGCTTTGTTTGCAAGTAAACAAAAACTGTTTTGTGGCTTTTTCTTTAATATCATAAGGTAGTACATTTGTATGGAGTCTCATGGAGTATTTCATTCAAAATTTCAGAGTAATTACGTCTTTTGGATTCAAAAGCTCGTAGAGTGAAGTTCCCCAAATCCAAATCATTTCTTTGAGCAAGCATCGTATGATGTTCCAAAAACTCTGGCTCAATTGATTGATATGATTCATATGATATATCAATATGCTTGCTCATGCCATGAGATTCGACCAAATATGTTTCTGCTGGGTATCTGCACATTTTAACTCTTTTACTTCACTTATAATTGCTCAGTTTGTAGCTCTGTAGATGTACTTTTGAAAAAACATAGCAAGAATACTCGATCGACTTTATGACAATTGCCTCTAGTACAACAAAGAACCGAATTTCTGTGTGTTTTCATGAATTTTCACCGTAATTGTATCAAGTTATCTTGACATTGTTATTGTCAGTAAATTGCATTTTACGTTTTTTAATCAATTTTTCAATCCAGTAGAAAACTTCTCCGAATTCTGCTTTTTTGGGTTTTTTTTTACTCCGTGGGTCTATAATTCCTAAAATTCGAAAGGTACAAAAAAAATGTATTTTATATTGTAAGCAGTATTTATAAGGGTATTTAATGACTTGGCGCATTTTATTATCATTTGTGATCAAACGGTAAAATAATAATTTATAAAATTGAATCTTGTACACTGAGTGAGACGGCCGGTGGGCGCTGGTGAAGCACTTTTTGTATGGAAATATTTGTTGAAAATTCAACAATACGCCACCTGTTAAAGACAATAAAGATTTTCGTTACTACTGCTGTCTTGACACAGCTCTAGCGAACTATATAGCTGTATTGCAAACGTATTAGTACTGACACCGATTCTGTGTATGCGTGTGTGTTGTAAATTTTGCACAAGCAGGTACGGTTGACGACTGAGTGCAGAATTTGCAATACAAACGGACACACAAAATCAGAGTCAGTGTGTTCTTTAGTAACAAAAATCTTTATGTATTTTAATAGATGTCGTATTCGTTGAATCTTCAACAAAAAATCTTCGATACCAGCGCCCACCGGAGACGGCTATATAACTCAAATGTGAATTTCAATGCGAGTGAGAGAGGCAAACACATAAAAGGCTCACTTTTTATACAAACTCCTTTCTTAGAAACAACAAATATATCTTTCTTATAATGTTTTCTACAAATAAACGATTAAACCAGACAAAAATTTCCGCAAATATGTTCTCGGTTCTTATAATTTGGATGATAGAAATGAGATCAAATGGATCTACGTCAGCTTTATAACTTTTTCTTCTTTCTTATAAATAGACTCGTGTAAAAATGAAACAGTGCAGTAATTAATGTTCGGTTGATTGAACGATTGTTATTAGTCTGG